TTTTTGCGGTACACGGGCCTCTCACTGTTGTGGCCTCTCCCGTTGCGGAGGACGCGCAGGCTCAGCGGCCACGGCTCACGGGCCCAGCCGCTCCGCGGCATGTGGGACCTTCCCGGACCGGGTCACCAACCTGGGTCCCCTGCATCAGCAGGCGGACTCTCAACCACTGCGCCACCAGGGAAGCCCCTAAACTTAACTTTTTAAAGGAATGTCATCCACTAAAAGTAACTTCAAATTATCTCCTGAATTTCTAGAGTAAGGATGTTAAACTGAAACCAATTAATATGAATACCAGAATGTGGGAATTACTGCAAATGTGAAAAGTGAAATTTTGATAGTCAAGTAAAACATGATGGCAGGTAAACAGATAAACTTTGATGGACCTGAATGTCCATTAGATGGATGTTTTTCAATGAGTAAGACAGGAACCACATGCATTTCTTATACTGTATCACTTACAAAGGTTTTGGACATTATTTACTGCTTTCATTCAATTCTGTATTCAACAACTGTACATAAATTACCGTTCAGTGTTTATCCTAAAGTTAAATCTACATTTAGAAAAACAAAACATTAAATTGCCATGATTCAATGAAGAAGAAATAATAGAAAGATTTCAGGTAGAAATAAAAAATTAATGGTCCTAGTGTTATTCCAGGGATAAAACGAAAAATGAGGCATGTCTAGAAAAGGCTCAAAAAGAAACTCTGATGCACTGTCATTATCATCATCAACAGTAACAGTTAAAACCAACTTTTACTGAGCATTTATTATGTACAGGAAACTATTTAAAACTATTTACATATGTTGTCTCATTCAATGATATTAATAATTCTATGAGATATTATTACCCCAAGTTTACAAATGACGACAGTGGATCACAAAAAGATTCAGTAACTTGCCCAAAGACACACAGAAGATGTTACCAGTTAGTAGAAGATACTGATTTTATATTTTATAAAAAGCAAAGACCATCTTTCTAAAACCACAGTGTTATGTAGTATATCTACTGTCCTGCTCAACCGGACTTACTAAAATACATGGAATGGAAAATATTAATGAACTTGAAGAGCAGAAAGCATTAAAAATAAAATTATAAACTTGTAAAATAAAATAAAATTATACTCAAAACCCAAAAGGAATATAAAAAGGGATGTATCTGGATTCAAGCTGTGCAAGGTAATGAAATGAAACATGTATACAAAGTAAGATACAGTAGAAAGAGAATCAAATTATGAGATCTTAAAATAAGCATTTTAAATTATAGTTACTATTTTTTAAATACTTCTACTGTTATATGACAGACTGACACTGTGGTTACAGGTCTTTCCTCACAAGTTTTCAACTGTTCTAGAAATTCTGGAAATTTTGTAAAACAAAGTAGGAATCATATCAAAGCACAACAATTATAATAAAATCTGATTATTCTCCAGAACAGTAGTACAGTTTTCACTTGTTGAGAATCTTTCAATCGACAAAGCAGCATCTCACGCTTTCTAGGACAGCTCTGTAATGTTGGCAGGGCAGGTGCTACTCCAGTTTAAAAGGAAGGAAATCAAGGGACAAAGAAGTGGCCTCCCTAGGCCAAGAATTCCATCTTCCTGCTCCTGCTTCAGGATATTTCTGCCAAATCACACTGCCCCTTAGAGATCACAGCTTTATTAAAGTAGTAGAATTTATCAGTAGAAGGGGACAGCTGGTCATCCCAACTCGAAAGTGAACAGCATTCGTTCATTCATTGTAAACAGAAACTGTAACGACTTTCTGCTTTGTGGCCAATGCTTACTAGGTACTATGGATACAAACTTGAAAAAGTTCTGTGGAGTTCACAGTGTAGTGGGGAAGATAATCATAGAATCATGTAATTATAAACATAATCCTTTGTAATAAGGTCACATATGATAATTCCTATCAGAGCTGAGCATCACACCCTGAGGGGCAAGTTGTGATAGAGACATCACCCCCACCAGAGGTGGGCCCGGGTGGTAATGGGACAATGGCAGGCACCACGCTGTCTAATCTGGGGGAGTGATTTCAGGGGGCAGCTGGCCCTTACAGAATAGACACGAGATTCTAAGGGGAACCAGAAACAGTTCAGGGATAAAGGTGTTGGGGGCAGGGGCAGTGAATCTGCTGTGGTGGTCACTTCTTTATTGGTCCAACACCGGGGCTCTCATCCCAAGACTATACCAGAGATACTATAATGGAGGAAGGGGGGTGAGTTCTGCAGGAGAGAGTAAGGAAAGATTTCCTTTAGAGAGGATGACAACAAACTCAACAGGAAGGATATACAGGAATTTTCCAGGAAGGAGAAATGAGGGTGGGGACGAGGGTAAAGATAGTGATAAATCAAACAGTAATAGCAATGTTAATAACACCAGTTACACTAACTAACATTTTATGATTATTTATTAGGAGCCGAGATATGTTTCTAGATCAAAGTATTCCTCGCAGTATTTTTACATTCAAGAGGTAGGTACAATGCTTATCATGTCCATTTTACAGATGAGAAAATTAGGTGTAGAAAGGTTTAGTAATAAGCTCAAAGTCACACAACTAATACACTGTGGAAGAAGAAATGAAATTCAAGTAGTCAGAATTCATAGATCATAGTCTGAACAATCATGATATATAAAGAACTTTTATATGTTGGATTTTAATATTTTAATATTCCAATTTGAAAAGTACTACCTTTAAAATTCTGTTACAATTTTATTTTATGGGTATGATCTCTGTTCACTTGCCAATAAAATCAAGTGGTCTATTTCAGTCACACAGATACATTTAAAAATCCATCAACTAAAAAGAAAAAAAAATTTTTTTTCCATCAACTGACCTAATGTTTTCAACACGTCTTTCTAACCTTACTGGTTTCAAAATAGTGATAAATGTGCAGTGCACGTCAGCATGGCTGCGAGTGAGTAAACTTTTCAGTCCAGCAAGTTTGGCTTGGTTTGGTGGGACTTTCAAAACTGCAAGTGAACTCCAGGAGACAAAAGTTTACTCTCTGAGCTGCCTGTGCTCTTCATTGCCTTCATTTCCTTCAGTCGTCCCTGCTCCGTTGGTCCCTTCGTCTCTGTCTCCAAGTAGGCCCACGTCTCCTGAGTCTGGATCTGAAAGCTTTAGAATCCACAAGGCCCCAATGCCTCTTACAACCACTTTCTATTTCCTTCCGGCCTTTTACTGACAAACACCGAAAGGGAGAGTTAGCAAAACAGATGGTACACCTGGACGTAGCATCTCTTGCTTGTCACTAATAATGGCCTTGAGAAATTTATTTCTAAACGTCGTGCCTCCATTTTCACATCAGTACAATCAAATGTTGGCTAATATGAGTCTGTTAGTTACCTGACGAACAAAGGTCCATTCAGTTATTTAACCAGAAAAAAAATGTGTATCTGTAGTAGGAACTCTGCTGTGACAGAGCTTAGACACAATTATATAATGGCTAGGTAAATCAGAATGGCCTCTACTTAGCAGAGATAACTTCATCTCTTCATTTAATAGATTGTATTTTAAAAATACACTATGACTGTACCTAGGGGACAGTCACTGTGAAAACACAGGCAACCGTAATGGCAACTATTTTTCATTGAATCTTATATTCTAAAAATCCAAATATTCTTATCAGAGCTATATATTTTTATTTCAAGATATTTTTAGATATTTCTTTGTACCACTACTACATAAGTAAGGAGTCTGTTGAGAGAAAACTTATATCCCCCTTTGGAAGAGAAGAAAAATATATACTACTTTTTAACTTCAATGCAATTTAAAACTGGGTATGAACTGAGAGCAGCATTCTTTTGGAAGGTACATTCTACCTCATACCAGATTGGACCATATATATCATCAAATAATTCTAGCATTATAGCTGTGGGAAAATACTTTAAAATTATTCATGAAAGGAAGAGCTCTACTAAAATCCCTCTTACTGGGAAGTACATTAGCCAGAGTTGCTGTGAGCTTAACAGCCTAGTAGAATGCTCATTTTTACAGAGGCTTATATACTTTCAGACATATGTATAAAGCCATACAATTCTACAAATATTTTATTGAACTGAAGCTGAGACGAAAGTGTAGGTGCAACGCATCAAAACTGATCCTGTAATTAGCACTTGAGAGACCTTTCCACAAAGATGTCAGGTGAAGCAGCTGTCAGTTTTAGGCCAGTCTGTAAACAAGAGCACAGGGGTCATGACCAACATCCTACTCTGAATGGATTCTTCTTGAAGCGTCTTAATGAAATCAGCAACCCAGAAATGAACTTACTCCTGATGAAAATAAAATAGTAAGAGTCTAATGGAATTTAAATAGGGATATTTAGGATGCTCAAAAAGAAGAGTGACGTTATTCCTGTGAGATACCCCATGACAAAAAGATTTTCATGGCTGAATAAGTGTCATGCAATTTAAGGTCCCTCTTGAAAATTTCTACCATGTTATAATATTAAAGATGATGAGGCATCCTGTAGTAAAGAAACCTGCTTACCTCGGTTCAGCTTTATCCCAACTTTATTTAACCAGAGAGCCCCTTTCTCATGTAATAATAAGCAACACTTACTGACTGCATATTAAGTATCAGCCACTATTTTTTGTGCTTTACATGAATTAACTTATTTAATCCTCAAAACGACTCTGTGAAGGAGGTATTGTGATTACCCCCATTTTACAGACAAGTAAACTAAGGCAGAAAAAGGTTACATACCTTCCTCCAGGTCATACTACTAGTAATGTGGCAGAGCTAGGGATTGAACCTAGGATAGTCTATTGCTTAACCATTAGGCAACAATGCTTTTGTGTAGTACCCGTTAGACCCCAAGGAACTGCTGCTCCCTGGAATTCTTGTTGGTAAAGGCTGACACACAACAATTTATATCTATGTAAAAAGGAAAAAATATATAATGCATGGAAAAAAAGTGTGAGGAAACAGACAAAAATCCTAACAGTTAGCTCAGTGTTTTGCTGTAGGATTATGGAAGATTTCTTTTTTCCCTTTAAATATTTTTTACTGCCCAACCTTCTTTCAAAAAACTGATAGCAGTAGTCAACCCTACTGAATGCTTACTATATGCGAGGTGCAATGCCAAGTGCTTTATACGCATGAAATCATTAAATCTTCATCTCTTTGAAATGGGTATTGTTATCTCCACTTTATAGATGAGGAAACCGAGGCTTAGATGTCAGCAGTTCTCAAGGCATGGGCTGAGGTCAAGACTATTTTTGTAATGATACTAAACCATTATTTGCCTCTTTCGCTATGCTGACTTTGGCACTGGGAGCAGAAAAGCCATGGTGGTGAAGCCCCTGGCACCTCAGCACAAACTGAGGCAGAGGAAGCACTGTGCTGGCAGTCACTGCATTCTTTCCTCACAGTTTAAAAAAGAGGTCAGTTCGCTTAGAAATGCCCTTGACGAAGCAGTAGAAACTATTAATTTCATTCAGTCTGAATCCTGAATACACACACGTCTTATTAATATTCTGAGTGATGAGGTGGAACACACACAGAGCAGAGTGTCGGCCTCAAGAAAGAGCATTTATGAAATTGTATGAATCACGATCTGAACCAACTGCCTTGGTCACGGACACCGTCATTACTTGAAAGAACGACTGACCAGCCAATCGTGGTTGTTGACACTGGGTACTTAGCAGACATTCTTCTCAAAAATAAATGAAGTAAGCCACTTTAAGGAAAATACCTGACAGTATTTTTGCCCCTGATAACATCTACCCTTTCAAGCAAGAGTTAGAATTTTGGAAAACTTATACCACTAGGAACTTCACAGCTTCCCAACATTTAAGGAAGAATAGTAGGAATTAGTAGGAATTCCTACTGATTAGATTAGTAGGAATATTAATAGATGTATGCATTTTTACAAATTGATTCAAAACAGCACAGAGTCAATGCGGGGTAAAAAGATCTAGGGCGGGGTGCGAGGGTGGTCTGCTAGAAGCTTTAGGACAAGGAGACGCTCCTGCTTCATGGAAAGCTTTCAGAGGCCAGGCCTCTCTCCTTCTGGGCAGGGAGACATGCGGATACGAACGCGGCAATAATCCTGATCCCAAAGGGAAGCCAAGCTCAGCAGGGAGCCAACACTGAAGTAGGCAGAGAAGAGAGACGGAAAGAAACGAAATCATAGGCAACATAACCAAGCGGCGGAATTCAATCATCCCCGAAAGCCAGCTGACCTCTGGACTGTCTGCCACATCCTCTCAATTCCTGCAACCCATCTGAACTGGCTATTCTGTGACAGCACAAAGACTCCTAATTTGAGGCATTCCACTCAATTAAATTACACTTTAAATTTTTTTAAGAATATGAACTTAGTACTCTTATAATTAAAGAGGAACTTTTACTGGGAAAATCCACATTGAATTTGTATAGTTTCATAAGGAAGTAACATTTTTAATTACCTTTTCAGTGTTCTTGTATTTTTCCCATCCTTTTAGCATTTTCAGCCATTTAGTAGTTCTTTCAATTTCCAGGTGCTTTTGCTAAAAATAAAATTGAAATTCATTGTTACTGTTTGTTTCAGGCTTCTTTTACTTACAAATTACAAAAAAATGCCAAGGAAAATGCTGCTGAAAAAGGACTACTAAAAAAGTTATGCTATATTGGACAGCAAATATCCTAACTAACTTTTTTTAAAAGTTGTATAATTGATGACATTTGTGTCAACAGTATCCCCTCGCCGACGTTAAGACACGTAGGAGATGCTCCATTGGGACAGGTAAAGAGAAAGGGATCACTTAAATTTTCTAACATTTTAATCACTGAAAATGCTGGGTACTCTACAAATTTAAGCCAAAAGGAAATTTTAAAACAGTCTGAAATATTTTTATGAAGCATCAAAAACACAGCTTCAAAATTCCATTCTCTTCTTTCACATTTTACCGATTTCTGGCATCTTAATGCTTTCGGTGACAAAGGTGGTTTTGTAAAGGAGAAGTGGGTATTACTGGGGGGGAGATCTTCATATAACTAGCACTACGTTAGTGAAAAACTGTACAAAAATAAGTAATAGTCGCTGCCCCAAGGCAAGTTCACTGCCTGCTAAGGGTACCCGACATGGAATATGCAGTGTTGTGAACTAGAGGCAGAGACGGTGACTCAAGTCCTGTGGAGGGAGCAGTCGAACCCACCCAGGGGCGTCAGAGGAGGTGAGTATAAATGAAGGACTGGAAGAGGGTTAGGGTTTTTATCAAGTGCAACATGGGAAAGAACATTCCGAGAAGCATGGACAGATGTACTTCTTCGACAATGCAGCAGTGTAGGGGGTAAAAAAGGAACCATCCGGAGCTCAGGCTGAACACACAGGCGGGGGTCTTGGCCGTCACACTAAATTAAGATTTGGGGCAAAGCTGAGAACGGGGAAGGTGGTAGAGAAAAGGCTTCTTCCGCACTTCTTTGGTTTCAAGGAGAAGGGGCATTTTTCCTAAGTACTCGGGTGGGCTCTCCAATCTCTTATTCACTCCTATGGTGGTAGAGTGACTTACTTGATTCGTACATTTAGAAAAAACTGGGTGTGCACAGCCCTCTGTCCCTTTACTTTAGGAGCCCAGCTGCCCTCAGAAAATCCATTTGTACTCTGTCCTTTCAGGCAGGAAAAAACACCCTCTTCAGCCAAGAAGTCTGGGTGACCCCTGTGCCCATGACCAGGTGAGCAAGTCCTCTCCTCTGGGGGCTCAGCCTAGGAGGCCCCTCGCTGCTGCACACCTAACCTCCTCCCCGCTGACTACTCCATCTACGAAGGCCGAGATGTTCGCTGCTTCCCCACTGCCTGGAACAGAGCCTGGCAGGGTCCACTACTAATGATGACCTTTTCATGAGAACAAAACTTAACAGAATTCTTTCTTATGAGTGAGCTGAGATTCTGCTGTTTTGTTAATTCTCCTCGATCCCAGCATTGTCTTTTCAGAAGGCCTAAGTGTATTAAGTGCATCTAAAAAGTAAATGAAATGGAAGACTACACAGGAAAGAAAATGGTTCTGAAGATACATTTTATGCTCAAAAATGTATGCTCGTGGGCTTCCCTGGTGGCGCAGTGGTTGAGAGTCCACCTGCCGATGCAGGGGACATGGGTTCGTGCCCTGGTCCTGGGGGATCCTGTGTGCCGCGGAACGGCTGGGCCCGTGGGCCGTGGCCGCTGGGCCTGCGCATCCGGAGCCTGTGCTCCACAATGGGAGAGGCCACAGCAGTGAGAGGCCCGCGTACCGCAAAAAAAAAAAAAAACAAAAAACAGTATGCTCGTTACACCCTTATGAGGTAGGTATAATTACCCCCATTTTTTTTTTTGCAGAACGTGGGCCTCTCACTGTTGTGGCCTCTCTCGTTGCGGAGCACAGGCTCCGAACGCGCAGGCTCAGCGGCCATGGCTCACGGGCCCAGCCGCTCTGCAGCACGTGGGATCTTCCCGGACCGGGGCACGAACCCATGTCCTCTGCATCGGCAGGCAGACTCTCAACCACTGCACCATCAGCGAAGCCCAATCACCCCCATTTTACAAATAAGGAAACAGAGGCACAAAGGGTCTAATCAACTTTTCCAAGTTCCTGCATCTGGTGAGTTCGAGGCCAGGCAGCGTGGCCCCAGGACCTGCGCTCTAGGCCGCCATATCCTACGCTATTGCCTCCATCATGTCCCTGCTCTCGTTGAGGATCACAGTTCCTGGATGGAAGGAATAGCTCCTCATCGACGGTCTTCAATCCAGCCTCAAACAGGCAGATGGCATAGGCCCACCATCGATATTTTTAGATTCAAAAGAAGCATAAAATCCCAAAGAAAGTCCTGAATTTAGGAAAAGATTCTCACCAATCAGAATACTTTTATGAAATTTTATTTTTAGGCAAATCCTTAAAACTCTTTAATTACTTCTTTACTCTTAAAAATTTTGATGTTTTTTTCATAACCAAAGATGATCACTTGTGAGCAAAAGACACTGTTATGATTCTCATTTTTCAAAAGATTAAGCATATTCTTCATTATATTATTAGTAATAAAATCTTACAGATGGTTCCAGAAATACATTTAATTTTAAAACTCAGTGGGGCTCTGAAATCTAATTAATGTTTCTGCTAAATGTTACTTTAGAGAAGGCCAAGCTGTGAAAAATTAAGATTGACCTAAGATGCCATTTGGTACTTTCTTATTCTTCTGCACTTCCCCCCCTGACTTCTTCAAAGCATAATCCCTTTCTCCACCAACAGGAAAACACCAAATAATTCAAGCCCATCCAAGAGTACAATAACATACACTTTGCCAGGAAAAACCCTGCTGAGATCTAGGAGGTCTTTTGCTATCTTTCATTCTTATGACTATTAAATTGTCAATAAATCACTTTAAGAAATAGCTATTCTTTTCTTTAAAGGCACATTTTGTATTCTAATGCTCATCATATATATATATAATTTTAAATGCTACACATTCTCATATGCAAGGATAAAAGAGACGCACACAATTTTCAGAACCATTAAGTATACATTTCTTTCCCCTACAGCAAAAAAAAAAAAGGAAAAAAATACACTTCGGTAAAGCTCCCAGGCTGTAGGATTTTAAAATTACACATCAGTAGTTCAATCAGGTTTAAGTGTTAACTCCATAACTCTACCCGATCAACTACACCAGACTTGCATGCACTCATGAATCTATAATAAATGGATACAATATACTTTATCAGCAAACATCCTATAGCTTAACAACTCCAGAATTTATTCTGAGGTAAGAAGTAACTGAAAACACATGTGACAAATGTAAACTTAAATGCTCTAGAAAAATAGGCTAAGGAACATCATCTTGCCATGGACTCAGTAACACCAAAACAGACTAGAATATAACAGCAAGTTAGAATCTCACCCAGAAGTTCAGCAGATACTTCAAACTCAGCACACCCAAAACGATTTCCCTAAACATGCTGCTAATTACCCCTCCCTTTCCTACTATGAATTAAGAGCATCACCACCCACTAAGTCAATCAACCTAGAAGCTTAGGTTGTCTTCCGTCTTCCTTGTATCTTCTTTCCACACCCAACCTACACTCTGCTGGTCCCATTCACTTCTGTTTCCATCACATCCTCTGCCCTTTTTCTGTCAATCCTCATCACTAGATGAGGGCAGTAACTCCTCACAGGTAGCCCTGGATGGCTTCAAGCCAGCCTCCACGCTGCTGTGACCTTTAAAAAGTGAGTCCCAGCTTAAAATCTTTCAATAGCTACAAATAAATTTCATATCTCTACACGGTTGGCCCTTCACAATATGGCCCAAACTCACCTAGTTTCACTTCCTGCTACTTTTTTTTTTTTCCCTGCTACTTTTATGATCTGGCCACCTTGAACTATTTGTCATTCCCAACACACAATGTATTCTCATGCCTCTCTGACCAGTGTTTGCTTTTCATCTGCCTGTGATGCTCTTCCTCTCCATCATCTGGCAAAACCCTATGCATCCTCTCAAGACCCAGTCAAATGTCAAAGGTTCAAAACCTTTTCCAAATTCCTCCATCCTCCAGCCAAAATAAACTGTTTCTTCAGCATTTCATGGCATGGACTAAGGACTCAGTTGGCCTGAGTTCTGCCCCTTCTTATCTGTTTCATTTGGGACAAGTTACGTAATCTTTCTGTATCTTAGTTTCCTTACCTATAAAATGAGAATTATTATGATTATTGTTATAGCACCTAACACCACTTGTGTTCTAGTTGGTCTAAATGCCCAAATATTTATTATTATTATTATTAAAGGATTAACTTCTTGAGTACAGGAACCATATCATATACTCTTCTTTTAATTTCATCACCTAAAACGGTGACTGGTGTATAAGAAAAGTTAAATAAACGTTTTTAAACATAATTTACATCAGGAGAGACAAGCAAACAATACTATGAAGTAATTCTGTAATAGCATTTTGTGGTCCTGGAAGTAGAGGGGTGGGAAGGAGAATGAATATGACTAGACCGACCAAAATCCTAAGTACTTTTGATAGCAGTTCGATCACTATAATACAGAAGTAAACATAAGTACAATAGTATCTCTAAGGTAGCATAATAAAGATATGAATCATTCCATCATGTTGGCAACGCTTTTCAAAGTGCTGCTAAAATGTGAAACTACTGATGTTAGGAATCTATACAAAGCTGATATTAAATAACTCTGTTGCCTTTATACACTGACATCTTACTTCTCCCAATTTTTATTGAAATATTTCAAGCCTATAGAAAAGTGGAAGACCAATGCACCATATACTTATATATGCTTCACCAAAATCCATCAATTATTAACATTTTGCCAGATTTAATCTATTTATATTAGGGCTTTTTTTTGCAGGGGAGTGGGGGGCGCTGATCTATTAGAAAATCTCAGACGTCGTGAACACTCCAAATACTTCAAGTATGTAACACCTAAGAACAAGACACATTATCCTACATGATCACAGTACAACTATTACACCCTTTCAAGAAATTTAAAATTGGTCCGTTATTTGGTAATAAATGGTCCATATACC